CCATTAACCAACTATTACAATCATACATCCATATATTCATACATAGCACAACGCGTGCCTCCACCTTGACAGGCGGTGGGATGCCTCACACACATATCGCACATTACTCAAAAATTAACTAATTAATAACTTGAACGAAAAGCATAAACTAAAAGACCTGCGACAGAGATTTTACCCCCTTTACACCCACCTCGAAAAGACGACTCCTCAATTCCTTCCTCGAAGAAACCCCTCCTTAGCCGGATTATCTTGGGGAAACCTATTAATAAGAATCATTTTCTTAGACGACTTTTCTTGCTTTCAAACCCCTTTTGAATCACTAGAACATCCTCTCCTCAAACTCCAGTCCTTGAACCTCATTCCAAAGGTCCTTTAACCCCCATTAAAATTTTTTAGAATTAATCCCTTCAAAAACGACCATTTTTCTTAATTATTTTAGTCTTGGACGAATTTTCCACCTAACTAGAACCTTCTTAAAAATTCGGATAATAATTTTTCCATGTCAATCATGAGCCCCTATACCCTGGAAAATTATAAAACCCTTTAAAATCCCCTCGGAAAAATTATTATTTAATTAAAATAAATATTAGAACGATTTCTAAAAATATAAATACATCTTCAAAAATACCCAAATTAAATTAAAATCATCTCATAGACGTCTCTCAATTTATAAAATTGTTAAATTTAGAAAACAATCTTCAGAGAAGCTCGAAACAAATTTAAAACATCTAAAAATATGTTTCTGGAAATTCCCAACAGCTTTAGTGACCAATCAAAATCTGTCGCTAAAAGCCTATAAAGCCTGTTGCTAAAGCCCCATAATTCTACCCTCACGAAAAATCACCAAATCGATCGATCTAACTCAAAGGGATTGAGTTCCCGTACCTCTAGAACGTGCCTAGGCCTAGGTTGGATGACCCGGGACGTTGATCTGCTTGTTGATCGAACCCTCAACGTCACCGCTAATAAAAATACGAGCTTCGGATGAGTCTACCGATGAATCGAGTTTAGAAACCACGAAGGGGTTCGTGATCATTACCTAGAAACGCGAAAGGGATGGGATCGGAATCGGGGTGGGGATCGGGATCGGCTGCCGGATTCTTCTTTCTTCCTCTCCTTTTTTCGAACTCGCGCGGCCTGGGGACTGGCGGCGGTTTATCCTGGGATTTAATTGAGAGGGCGGCGGGGGATTCTTTGGGGTTTGGAAGCTGCTGAAGGCTTTTATTTTTATGGAGGGCCGGCTGCTGGGGAAATATGATGGGGAGAGTGGAGGCGCCCGGCCTCTTGGCCTCCCCACTGTCTACATATATTTTTTATAATAATGTTATAATATTATTATTCTTAATTCGCGATTGTAACTCTTAGTACGTAACCGTCAATCCAACCGATCACGTATTAAGGTCGAACCTAAATCTAAATTACCGGGGTGTTACATTTCACCCACCCTTATAAAAAAATTTGTCCCCGAAATTTGCTCGGAACTCATCCTTCCATTAACACCCTTCTTTTCCTTCCTGCTCGCAATCATCTATTCTTACTATAACAACTTCGTTGGTACCTTTTGCTCAAATGAGTTTCCTTATCTTGCCGCACCCGTGTAACCATAAATGTCTCACTACCCTTTTTACTCCCTAGCTTGATCCAAACATGGTGAAACAAAATGAAAATTCAGTTTGTCACGTTGATCCAATCCTCCTGGTAGTTGATATTGAACCTAAATCCAAAATCGAGACATCACATTTCCCCCCTCCTTAAGAAAAATTTCGACCTCGAAATTTGTTTGTTGTGACGACTCCAAGTTTCACTTGCGAAAATCTCTTTGCAAGGAGTTGTACCTCCTTCTAGCCTTGATGTATTGATAACATGACATCTTGTTAGGCTACCTATGATATACTGAGTTCTTCCTTTGCTTGCTTAGGTGCCCCTAGCGGTTCTTAAGGTCCAACTTTCCTCTGCTCCTTGGGATTGTAGCCCTAAGTTCAATTTTAACGAACTCAATGAACATTCCTTGCATCCTTTTCTCTAGATTATGGCCACCATTTGCCATACCCCTTGGCTCTACCAGTCGATGTATTAACTGCTCGGCTCCTTCCAGAACCTTATTCTGATCAGCTCACATCCCCATAGAATATGAGCTACCTTGACACTCCTCTTCTCACTCATGAAGGGGTTTCACTAAACGTTCCCTCCAGGAACCTGCTCCTTCTCCTTCCCAAGACGTATCATAACCCCATGGGGCATCCTAAAGTTATTTCCTTATCATCATTAGAGTATACTGGAGATAACCCATAGGTCCCTGGATCGAAACCAGGCTCTGATACCAAAATGACACGTCCCGTCTCTTTTCAAAAACCAAACCATAACTCAAACCAAAAATTGGTTACTCCGGAGCAACCCAAACCACATTATAAAATAAACAAACTGACATTATTTAAGAATTTTTAACGAAAAGCCCCAACACTTGGGCGAAATTCTCAATCTCAAACTCTTAAAACGACTTAACACATAATCTCCAGTTTATACTAATAACCATGAAATAGAATAATTAACTAATCTAACTTGACTCCTCACGAGCTTTCCGATATCCCGTCGACGCTGGTACTGTTGCTCGCCTCGCCCTGCTTCTTCTCGTGATCCACTTCTGCTAGACTATCCTCAACCTGGTGAGTGAGAAGGGGTCAGTCTCGTCGTTACTTCCTAAGGTCTTTGCCCTAGGAAAACTCCTTACTAAACACATTATTAGGGGGATGCCTTCCTTAGACGAAAGTCGTTCTCACTTTCATCCTTTAAACTTTACTATCAAACAGTCTATAAGAGATCTCTACTCCTATCTTACCCTTATAATTCCCTTACTTAAATGATTAATCCAAAGACACCAACACTAGGGACCACCGTGTTACGTCTCGCTGTCCGGTGTCCCTACCCTAGTATGCCAACCGCGTTACGTCTCGCCGTCCGGTTGCATACCCAAACTCGACAATGGCACTTCGTTTCGTCTCGCCGTCCAGTCCATGCCCGTCAACTACTGCGTTACGTCTTGCCGTCCAGTAGTGACCCCAACATACTCGATCAACTGCTGCGTTACGTCTCGCCGTCCAGCAGTGATCCGACCATCTACCGCGTCCAGTAGTGTCCCAACCTCCCGGGGGTTCCTCTTACCATTAACCAACTATTACAATCATACATCCATACATTCATACATAGCACAACGCGTGCCTCCACCCTTACAGGCGGTGGGATGCCTCACACACATATCGCACATTACTCAAAAATTAACTAATTAATAACTTGAATGAAAAACATAAACTAAAAGACCTGCGACAGAGATTTTACCCCCTTTACACTCACCTCGAAAAGACGACTCCTCAATTCCTTCCTCGAAGAAACCCCTCCTTAGCCGGATTATCTTGGGGAAACCTATTAATAAGAATCCATTTTCTTAGACGACTTTTCTTGCTTTCAAACCCCTTTTGAATCACTAGAACATCCTCTCCTAAAACTCCAGTCCTTGAACCTCATTCCAAGGGTCCTTTAACCCCCCTTAAAATTTTCTAGAATTAATCCCTTCAAAAACAACCATTTTTCTTAATTATTTTAGTCTTAGACGAATTTTCCACCAAACTAGAACCTTCTTAAAAATTTGGATAATAATTTTCCCATGTCAATCATGATCCCTTATACTATGGAAAATTATCAAACCCTTAAAAATCTCCCGAAAAGATTTTAATTTAATTAAAAAGAATATTAGAACAATTTCTAAAAATAGAAATACCATCTTAAAAAATCTCCAAATTAAATTACAATCATCTCCTAGATTTCTTTCAATTTATAAAATTGTTAAATTCAGAAAAAAATCTTCAGAGAGGATCGAAACAAATTTAAAACATCTAAAAATATGTTTCTTGAAATTCCCAGCAGCTTTAGTGACCAATCAAAATCTGTCACTAAAAGCCTGTAAAGCCTGTTGCTAAAGCCCCATAATTCTACCCTCACGAAAAATAACCAAATCGATCGATCTAACTCAAAGGGATCGAGTTCCCTTACCTCTAGAACGTGCCTAGGCCTAGGTTGGATGACCCGGGACGTTGATCTGCTTGTTGATCGAACCCTCAACGTCACCGCTAATAAAAATACGAGCTTCGGATTAGTCTACCGATGAATCGAGTTTAGAAACCACGAAGGGGTTCGTGATCCTTACCTAGAAACGCGAAAGGGATGGGATCGGAATCGGGATCGGCTGCCGACTTCTTCTTTCTTCCTCTCCTTTTTTCCAACTCGCGCATGCTGGGGACTGGCGGCGGTTTATCCCGGTGGATTTAATTGATAGCGCGGCGAGGGATTCTTTGGGGTTTGGGAGCTGCTGAAGGCTTTTATTTTTATGGAGGGTCGGCTGCTGGGGTTTTTTTGGGGTGGGGAAATATGATGGGGGAGAGTGGAGGCGCCCGGCCTCTTGGTCGCCCCACTGTCTACATATATTTTTTTATAATAATATTATAATAAAAATAATGTTATAATATTATTATTCTTAATCCGCGATTGTAACTCTTAGTACGTAACCGTCAATCCAACTGATCACGTATTAAGGTCGAACCTAAATCTAAATTACCGAGGTGTTACATTCTTTTGAATTCAAGACTTATTAGCTTTTTGGGGATTGTACTTTATTTTCGATTATCATTGTATTTATATTTTAAATATAAAAATTAATGGTTATAACAAAGATTGCTATCTATTTTTTTTCTTTTTTCTTCTTTTATTCTTTTCTTTTGAGCTTCTGCTTTCATTGCGGGCGAGTAGGCCATTTGCGGGGTGAGTGCTCCTTTGACGCACCAACAAGGAAGGAGCGCTTTGGCCCGCACATGTCGACGAAGAAGGTGGGTACCAGAATCTATGATGATGACGAGGGCAATACCCCACCTACTGTTTGGGTCAACAGAGATCTTCGGGCGCGCGAGGTGAATGCTGCTCGCGGGGAGAATGCTGGCAGCTCCTCTCATCAGATGGTGCAAGATGTTCCTGCTCGCCACACAGCTCCGGTGCCGACTGCCTCGCGTCACACTCAACAGCATGATGCGTGGCTCCTAACCCAGAATGAGGATGATGGCGGCAGGACTAGGATGGATCGCACCCCTCGCGAGTTCCTTGTAGCGAAGGTGCTGGTGTTCCGTCCTAATCGCCGCCTGCATCGCGCGAGCTCCAAAGGTGCTGCCCAGTTACCCCATGAGCGGCAGGGTGGGTCCCGCCATCAGGGTCGCAAGCGCGCGGGAGATGGAGGAGGATGCGAGAAGCTGGCAGGGACGTCAGGGGAGGAGGGAAATGGAGCAGCAACGAGATCCGGTGGCGGGAGCGGTGAAGACTATTCCGTCCCATCACCGCTGGTTGGTGCTTGATGACTCGGAGGTGATCGGGAACTGGAGGAGACCAGGTCATTGGTGGAACCTAGAAGTGACGTCATGTGTCACGCGGCTCCCACTGCTGGCGAACGTCGGCGCGCCCCTGCTTGTAGGTTGGAGGTGCACGCGCAGCCGCCACCTGCCGAAGTGCGCCCTAGAACTCCCCAGCAATAGACTCGGCGGGCGGGTGCCAGAATCACGTAGGAGGGGGTTTGGAGGGATATGCTAAGAAACAAGCGGATCGTAAGGGGAAGGTGAATGGGAAGATGTATGTGAAAGAGACTGATTTTGAAGAGTGGGAGTCGGTGCTGACTGATGGACTATCGAATAGTCTCTCCTCCCCCTCTCCTACGGTGAATATCCCGCCGCGGGAAATGGAAAGGGAGCAGGTTGTCAATCAGGCGATATCCGATTCAGATGTTACTCTTTTGGAGGAAAAAGAGCATAATGTTGAGCTAACAATTTGTGCACCAGCAAGGGTACCGGGGGCTTCCCGACCAAACAGGACTAGCTGACTCCCCAAGAAATCTGGCCGAGTCCGCGAGGTGGTGCTCGCATATGAAGCTGGGTCTGGTTCAGCCAAGGTGATGACAGGTTCAGTGATCCAATCAGCTGGGGATGGGTTGGGAGTCTTATTTGATGAATATGGATCCAATGATTCGGTCCAAGGGATTGGGAGTCGAAAGCGATCATTGAGTGCACTTGCTGGGGAATTTGAGGAATATCCTGTCGCTAAGAAGTAGTTTGTGGAGGATACTGGAGATAAGGAATAGAACTAGGTGGAGGAAGCCAGTCTCGAGTGGCCCCAGCCAGATAAATGAGGCTACTAACCTGGAATGTGAGAGGAATTGGACCCTCCCTCATGTTCCAAACGGCTTTAGGGTTGTTTCATTCTAATAAGCCATAGCTCGTTTTCCTGTCTGAAACAAGATCGAGCCGGAGAGTCGTCTCCCGTCGTATACAGGGTTTAGTTTTTCTTCCTTTGATTGTTTCTTTGTGGATGCTGTTAATGCATCTGGTGGTCTAGTTGTAGCTTGGTCCCCGGATTTGATGCTTCGGTGTTGTCAATTAGGCAATACCCGATTCGGATGCTACTCTTTTGGAGGAAGAAGAGCATAATGTTGAGCAAAAAAGTCGTAATACTCGGCCCCTGATACCCTAGTAAAGCACCTCACAGATCAAGGGTCTGATCATAGAGCTCTGCTCTTATCAGATAAACCCTATGCTCGTAATAGTCGGCCCCTATTCCGATTTGATGCACGTTGGGCGGATAATCCGGAGGTCCGCTCTATGGTGCACTATGTTTGGAAAGAAGAGTTCCATGGTTCCCCCATGTTCCAACTGTGGACTCGGTTGAAGAAGCTCCGCCATTTGCTTTATGATTGGAGTAGGGCGGGAACAACGAATTCCTTACGTAATATCAAACCTCTCCAGGCTGAGATTGATCGTATCAAGCAGATCCACCCAATTAATTGGGATGAGGTGTGGATACTAGAATCTGATCTCAGTCGTCGATGGGAGTCGGAGGAGATTTATTGGCAGAAGAAATCCCGGGTTCGGTGGCTAAAGAAGGGGGATCAAAATTCTTCTTATTTTCATACGATCACGCGCATAAGGCGTAAAAGGAATTATGTGGCTGGCCTCTTGGATGATAGTGGTCAATGAGTGACGGATGAAAAAGGGAAGTCGAACAACGCCATTGATTTCAATCAATTGCTATTTACGTCTAAAAACCAGGTCCTAGACATGGAGGCTCGTGTGGCCGCCCTCCCGCTGCCGCAGAAAGTGACTGCTAAAATGAATGTGAATCTGACGGCGGAAGTCCTACCAAGATGAAGTTCGACGCACAGTTTTCTCCATGGGATCAAAACTGGCGTCGGGTTCGGATGGGTTTACAGGAAATTTTTTTCAAAGCCTTCTGGGGCATGAACTTATGCACTATCTGAAAATCAAGAACTGCGGGAAGAAAGGGTATATGGCTTTAAAGGTTGACATGGAAAAGGCCTATAACAGAGTCGAATGGCCTTTCCTCTTTGTGATTCTGGCTAAACTTGGCTTCAGTCCTACGTGGATTGCCTGGATACGAGAATGTCTTCGATCTTAGTCTTCCTCGATTCTTACGAATGGAACTTCGCATGGTTTCTTCCGGCCCACTCGGGGCCTCCGTCAGGGCGACCCACTTTCCTCCCTTTTGTTTGTTTTGTGCATGGAAGGCTTTGCAGCCCTTCTTCGTGGAAGGGGTTAAGGTCTCTCCCCGAGCTCTGAGGATCTACCATTTGTTTTTCGCTGATGACTCATACATGTTTCTTCGTGGGACGTTACAGCAATGCGAGAATATGATTGTAGTTCTCAACGAATATGAGGAGTTGAGTGGTCAACGAGTTAATCTGGCCATGTCGGCGGTTTGTTTCAGTAAGAACATCTCAATCCCATACCAGGAATTTTTGGCCCAGATTTTGGGGGTGGGTGCCGTCACTGCAGTGGGGGTGCATGACAAATACTTGGGGCTGCCTTCACTCATTTCTCAATCTAAGATGGCCAAGTTCCGATTCGTGGAAGAACGATTGGAAGCTCGTCTCCAAAGGTGGGCTTAGAAGATGCTCTCGTCATCCACTAAGGAGACCCTTATTAAATTAGTTGCCTCACCCTTGCCGCTGCATGTTATGTCTTGCTTTAAGCTCCCTCTCACGTTATGTCGGATTTTGGGCAGTCTTGTGGCGAGATTCTGGTGGGGAGTGGAGAATGGGCATTCTCGTATAAGATGGATGTCTTGGCGGAAAATGTGTCGTAGCAAGCATGAGGGTGGGATGAGTTTCCGCCGTTTTGAGCACTTTAATCAGGCATTACTTGCCAAGATTGGGTGGAGGATCCTCTCGGAGCCGCAGTCTCTCCTTGCTCAGGTTTACAAAGGAAAGTACTTTCCCAACGGTTCATTCCTCACGGCTAAGGCGCGCTCTCGTACCTCCTGGGGGTGGCAGAGCATCCTCTTTGGCCGTCAATTATTGGAAAGAGGCCTCCGTTGGCAGATTGGGAATGGTCAATCTGTGTCTGCGTTGCATGCTAGTTGGATTCCTAGACTCCATCCACAGATCCCAACCTATAATCCTCGAGTGCTGATGCCTAGAGGTAATTTAAAAGTGGGCGACTTGCTAGTCCCAAGAGAGGGACGTTGGTGCGATGAAAGGCTTGCCCAATGGTTCCATCCGAGCATCTGCGATGCGATTAAGGCTATTCCCTTGCCCCGGGAGGATGTGGCTGATAAGCTCGCCTGGCTAGAGAATAGTGATTGGGTTTTCATTTTCAAATCACCCTACCATCTAGATGTGTTGGTGGACAAACAACAAGGGAGGTGGAGCCCCTCGGTAAGTTGGATGGACAAGCAGAGCTGGATCCGGATGTGGAATGCCTCGATCCCTCCCAAGCTTAAGATCTTTCTTTGGCAGATCCTGCATCGGTTTCTCCCTACGACGGATGCCCTTATTTGGAAGAAGATCCTCGTCCATCCTCGGTGCATGATTTCTTGGGCGTCTGCTGAAACCATGGAGCATCTCTTCCTGGAGTGCCCGATTGCCAGAGCCTTATGGGATCATGCTGGTCTCGAGCATCTTGGTCAGGGACTCCCGAGAAGGGGTGGGTATACGGTCCGGTCCGATTAAATTGGACCAAACTGATCCGGTCCCAGTCCGGTCTTTTTGGGAATGTAAGGACCAAAGATTGGATTGGATATAGTCCGGTCTTGACGCGGTCCGGTCCCAATTTGATCTTGATTTTAGATTGAGCTTGTGGGGATTTGAGTGTTGGGGTCTCTTATCCGGTCTTTATCCGATTTTTTTTTACCTCAAATCTAAGCCCGAATATGAGATTGGATTGTTTGCTATCCGGTCTCGGTCCGGGTTATACGGTCCGGTTTTGGGTAAAACCAAACAGTATGGACCAAATAGTCAGCCCTACTCCCGAGGCATACATTCCCGCTCTTCCTTAAATGACTTTGGCTCTTCTCCAAAATTAGCAGCATGTGATGAGTTTTGTGGCTGTGCTTTGGGGAATATGGAAGTCCCGGAATTGGGTTGTCTTTGAAGGCAAACAGTTTGGGATATCAACTCTGATAAGGCAGTATCACCAACAACGGCATGAATGGTTGGCGTTGCCTAAGGAGCGGGTTAAGTGTGCTCTGTTTGCTGCGAATGGGAATGTGCCTCCGGTTTCCCCGAATTTGATGATTTATCGATGGGATGGGGCTACACGACAAGGATCCCATGCAGCTGGGGGGATGGTACTCCTTTGTTCGAATGAGACAATCCTGCGGTCTTGTGCTATTTAGTTCCCTGGTATGGATGATCCCATGATGGTTGAGCTATTGGTCATTCGGGAGGCAATCTTGTGATGTGTGCAACAGGGCTTGGTCGAGGTTTGGTTCGAGGAGGATGCTAAGGTCATCATTGATAAAAATAACCAGGTTCAGAGTAATGATAGTCGTGCGAGGGCCATATTCCGTGACGATTTTGAGTTATTTGGATGGGCATCCAGGGTTTCGGGTGCGATTCATAGGTCGGAGTAGTAATAGAGTAGCCCATATGGTGGTTCGTAAGGGCCTTTCTTTGTACCCGACTATGTGTCGCTTTTTTGATTTTGAGGTCTGGCTTCGATCCAGGGTGCGATGATCTATGTTACAAATCAATATACTTGATTATCTTTTGTAAAAAAAAAAAAACTACTATTAGAAAATGGATATATAATTTCCCTCATCGTTCTCTCATAAATTCTTTTTCATATTTGAAGGTGGAGGCAAAGAAGCTGCACTCCTGGAGTGGAATGATGGTACGTGGTTCATTTTTTCCACGGAGAATCAGAGAAGGCAATTTACCATTTACCCTGAACGGTCAGCTTCAACGGGCAATGAAACGAGCAACCCCTTCCACAAGCAAACAAGAAAGAACCGGAAAAATAAGAAAGAATAGAAGGGTAGGGAAAATGAAATAAGAGAGGTTTTCTCCTGGCCCCTTATCATATACTTCCTTTAGTCGTCTGATTCCATTTCAAGGAGTAGCTGCATGAATGATACCCTTCAACTCCAAGAAAAGACCTCCATCTGCCTTCTAAGTTCTATCTCCAAAACACTGCTCGTCACCGACAAACATCTACTGGGACCTCATGCGTTACTCAATTGAAAGTAAAGAGACCGGATGGTGAGGTTAACATAAATAAAACATGGCATGACTACAGGTCCAATTCAATCAATGAGGTTAAAACATTCTGGGAATAAAGCAGATACCCAAAGATCCTTGTGTTGTGTTGATCTAATATGAGAGTATCTGTTTTCCCTATGTAGCAGGCATCAAATTTAAGTTACTTCGTATGGGTATGCTGTGAAACTTGAAGTCTCCATCACGCAGCAAAAGGTTCTTATTCGTCTGGCAATTTGCAAGCAGGTGTTTGATCCTTTGATTTAAACTGGCCAAGCATTTCGGCGACAGATCTGCACCGACACTCGTTTCCAGGCCGGATGACATCTCCATAAACAGCCATTTCAATAATGTCAAGCTCCTTGTCTACAAAATTTGCAGAGGCATAATTAGTGTGGAAATAAAAACTTACAGTATGTGACCAAGGCATATTGCAGAACCGAATGCAGTGATGCAAGCAAAAGTTGGGCCCAGTGGTTACAATAACTTTGTGCAGCAGAAAACATCAATCCTAGAAAGCTGGAGAAAGTAGCTTTAATGGAACTTTTAATGCAGTGAATGGGACTGTTTGGCTTAATACAAAGTAAAGCGGACAGGTATTTAGGCTGGATATCCAATTCTGGAACTGCAGATAATGGCCTCCTTAAAATAAGGTTTCCTGTCAACTGCTTCATAGTGTGGTGCAACTTAAAACATAGCATCCTCAACTGTAAACTACATATAACTATCCATAGATGTCAGCTATAGGAGAGACATTCAAACAGGCCATTGTCTGCAGTTATATGACAGCATATATGTCATAGCTAGAGGCCACTGTGAACTAACAACATTGTGATGCTATATGCCCCAGCCACAAATTCAAGGCTACAAAATCAAGGATAGAAACTGGGCTCAAGTATCAAAAATCCCTTTTCTGTAGTAATACTTGGATTCAAATACAGGAGTTCAGATCGAATTTCGGTATGAAAGACAGGTAGGAAGCATTCATGCCACAGAGCTCGATACAGAGGAAGACAGAATGGCTGACACAAAACGATGTGTAAAAGACTCTGTCTTAGGCATCGTTTGATTGACGCATATCTATGACTCATTTGGTACCGAATGACTCGTTTGGCAAATAAAAACAGAACTAGTCATGCGGTTCCAACAAGAGACAACCAGGTCCTAGGCACAAATGTGATTTGGTTTCCGGGGTGAATATAGACAGTATAGTTTCCTCTCAATCATCATTACTGCTTTCCAACTAGAATTATCTCCAGCAGAAGGCTTATGTCATGTTAATAGCTTCTCAGAAACAACAGGTTCACCGAGAATATCAGGAGGACAGAATGTACATGAAAGGGAACCAGAAGAATTCCTAAGAAAAATCTTTAGCAGTTCAACAGATATCATGGGTTGAATCAGAAACCAAAACCCATGTTCAGAAAGAATTTGTGGACGAAGATTTGAACAAGAAAGCTTACCAGTGAACTTAATATCGCAAGAGTAGCCTCTGAGGAGAGTTTTGTCAATCTCTTGTTTGTCAGATTTGTATCGATTCACACGAGTTTGAAGTATCTGGCAGTTGTCCGGTACAGATTCACCACCTACACCACAACCCATGTTCACAAACAACAATTTCAGGGTCAGGTCCACTGGAATTCGAGCAAAGCAAAAATCTATTAGCTAACGCAATTAGTTGTAGTAATTCCAAGAGGAGCGAGTCACTACAAGCAAACCAAGGATCGCGGCTTGTAAAATAAAAGAAATTGCTATCGAGAGAGAGGAAGGAAGAGGTAAGGACCTTTGGAGAAGGGAACGATGTGATCGTACTCGAAGCAGAGGCAGCCCTGGCAGTTGCAGAACCGCCTGCATACGATATTTCCGGCAGCGTCTTTGCGCCACCTCTCCGGGTGTCGGCCAGGGACAGTTTCCGCATTTCCCCAGCAGTGGCTCTTAGCCTTTGCGTCGAAGAATCGCGGGTTGCTGTGCCTATGATTGTTACCGCCAACACCACGAGGGGACTTCGGCGGGGAAGAGCTGCTCATTGTGCACCTCCGCTGCTGGATTCGTGCGGCTAGTTTGGATGGCGAGGAATTTGGGCATTTAAAAAATCAGATATCGAGGCTAAATTCCTTGTTTGTTTAATGATTTAGGTTTCCATTTAAAAGAGTAAAGTACAAATTTACCCTTCTGTGCAACCTCTGTCCGAGCCGAGTATCCAATGGCAATCAGGGATGGCAATGGGTCGGGTTGGGCCAAACCCAAATCCAAACCCATGGGTTTATCCGTGAAAAAAATCTGGGGTAAAACCCACTAGGTTTGAAAAATTCAAATCCAACCTAACCCGCTGGGTATCCGCGGGTTCATCGGTACCCACGGGTTTTTGTCGTAAAAAATTTACAATAACAAGTTCCTATCAAAATTAAAGTCAAATATCAATCTTTCAATACAAATTATCCATATATAAAACACCATTCTAGAAAATTCAAGCAAATCACAAATTAACTATACAAATTGTTCAATACCAATCTAGAATACTCAAGAAAATTGAAGACAATCACAAATTATCCATAAATAACATGATTAATTGAAAGTTTCTTCCTTTCAATTAAGTTTTTTCACTCTCCACTCGATAACATCAACTTCATTCTACACAATTAGAAAGAAAAAATTAAACATGTCTCCACAAACATAAATAAGATTAGTTGTTTAGAATATTAAATATACCGAGAAAATTAATTATCTGAGTGTGGGCGGGTACCCATGGGCCGGGTTTACCTAAACCCAAAACCAACCCAACCCGGTGAATAGTGAACGGGTTTAAAACCAAACTCGGCCCAAAACCGGTCAACACGGATTTTACTAGTGTTGACCGAATTTGGTCGCGTGGGTACCCGTGGGTTCGGGTTTTGTTGCCATACCTAATTCCAATTCCTTCTTCCTCCGTTGATGTTCATCTTTTTGCAAAGTGCCGACACCCAGCAAAAGCTTGCCTGTCTGGTGCCCCTGTTAGTGTCCCTGTCACGACCCGATCCTTTTTGAAAACCAAACCATAACTCAAACCACAAACCGGTTACTCCGGAGCAACCCAAACAACTTTTTAAAATAAATAAACCGACAATGTTTAAGAATTTCAAACAAAAAGACTGAACACTTGAGAAAATGACAATCACAATACTTAAAATGAAAGAACTCAGGATCTCCAGTTTACACTCCTAACCATGTAACAAAGAAATTAAACTATTCTAGCTCCGACTCTTCACGAGTTCCCTGACTTCTCATCAATGCTGGTGCAGTTGCTCGCATCGCCTTGCCTCTTCTTGAAGTCCACCTCTGCCAACCCTTCCTCGACCTGGTGAGTGACAAGGGGTCAGTCTCGTCGTTACTTCCTAAGGTCGTTGCATAAGAAATCTCCTTACTACAACACGTTATTAGAGTTTGTTTCCTAGCATGAAAGCCGTTCTCGCTTTTTGCTCTTAAATAATCATTCTTATCAACTCATTTCAACATTAACTCATAAAAGTCCACCCTCACCTGTGTTGTTGTGGGTCTTCCTTTCGAGCAACGCCATGCCAAGGCAAGTATGCTTCATCATGACTTCAGACTGCTCCCTAACGTCTTGAGCCACAGGCTTCTCTCACAGCAGGGCAGCCCGGGTGCCATCAGTTACCGTCATCGGGCCATCCTCACCAGTTTTGCGACCTCCGTCCCTATTCATGTGGGCCTTGACCGCAATGAGTCCACTCAGGAGCTCATCCTCCAGCATCTAGGTGTCCCCTATGTGACTTTCTGCCACCTGTCCAGGGCCTCCAATTCTGGTGTCAGATCTTCTGCTCGAGGGCCTCGGGCAGATGACAACTTTCAGCCTGCCGGACAGGTCTATCCTGGCTCTGATTGATCCCACTACGGGGTGCTGCTTTGTGTGTTTTGTTATCAGACTCCGACTTCGTGTCGTTTTTGTTTTGTTTTCTTTTAGATTTTGCGCTTGGTCTATTTTTTCACCCAGTGTGTTTTGATGACTCTAGCTTTGTGCTTTTGGAATGCTCCCCTTCCAGTCCCCTACTCCTGACTGGTCCCCTCTCCAGTCGCCACTTCTTGTCGTCACTTCCCGATAACATTGCTCCCTTTCTATTTCCCTCTGCTTCATTGAGGGCAATGTCGGCACTAAGTGTGTGTGTGGGGGGGGTGCTTTGTGCTTGTCGGGAATCTGTTTGTGTGATTGGAGCCTAGTCCGCTGTCCAAATCTCGAGATTTGAGGACTCCAAGTATTGATGTTTGCATAAACATATTGGCACTGTGGTTTATGTGGTGAATTGAATGGATGTTAACATTGATGCATGACAACTTGATTGTGACTAGGACAACCTATAATGATGACTGAAACGTGCAGTAGAGTTTGTGTAAGGGTTCCGTTTTTCAAGTGTCTACTTACCAACTGTGACTTGGATTGATCACTTATTCTTTACAGTCGTTTATGCATCTAGTTTAGTGAATCATAATGAGAGATATAGCATATAGGTAGCCATGTGAGATTTGAGCCTACTCGTTTCTTTCTTGTGCGATAGATCCCTCTTCCATGATGTGTAGCATTCACGTTGTCACTAATTAGGATGATGAAGGCATAGGATTAGCCCACGACCAAATTGATTGTCCTCATACCCCCTAGTCAGCCCCTTTGAGCCGTGTAACTTTCTTTCTTTTGGTCTACAATGAAAAATCACCCTTATGCATCTCTTAGAGGTTCCACGGAGTGGTTTTAGTTCTTAAAATTTGGACATGTGCTTGCAAGAATAAAAGATGTTTAAAAGTGGTGGTTCTTTCAAGAAAAAGAATAAGGAAAAAATAAATAAATGAAAACAAATAAGAGCCACCACAAAAATCTGAATCATGCCCATTAAATAGTTTTTCTTAGCAGCTTGGCTTGGAAATGCTAACATGTTGTGACCTCCTTCGCCCTTGTGCTCTAAAGAACTTGATTAATGCAGAATAGCAGAGAAAAAGTAAATGGTTTGAATGAATGTTACTGTGTTTGGTTTTGGAATTGTGGAACCTTGTGTAATGAATTTTTCCACCACCTAAAAGGCCTTTTCCCCATGTCCAAGACACTAGGCAGTCATAAGAACCCCGTGTCTAAGACCTCCTGACTAGTTAGTGGTGCCATATGATATGTGAACTCTAGCATTTACAGGTTGCCATCATGGTGAAGATACGTTAGGGATTGAGAGTACGAGTATGCACATATTGCATCAAATTTTGTCCTGACCTCACTGGTCGAGAGTGAGTGATTCAATTTTCATATTATATACCCTGGTGAGGACCTAGATTGCTCGGTCTTGATTCTGATGTCTTGAATTTTATGCATGAGGTGACTGTCTTGAATAAGTGTTTGAGTCAAGTCTATGTTGGTCGGTGAACCGAGGGGAGACTCTTCCTTTACTGGATTTTGCTGCACTCGAATGTCATCTGTTGTGGTTTTCCAGGTTGTTATTGCTGTTGTTCATGTGTTGATGTCTAAAAGCTTGTGCGATTCACATGTGTTGTGCCTATATGATATGTCCCCAAAGTTTGCATGATTAAAATGTTTTGAGCTTACCTTGTGTCTGACTTGATTTGCTTGGGGACAAGCAAACGGTTAAGTATGGGGGAATTTGATAACACCGCATTCGCACATGTTTTTCCCTTCATTTATTGATCGTTTAGCTTAGCGATTGATCGTTCCTTGGCCTATTTTACGCTTGGTTGTGTTCTTTTGTCATATTTTAGGTCCTAGTACGTAGATATGGCTTAGGGACGAGTTTGGGACATTTGGAGGTGAAAGAAGGTCGATCGCGAAAACCGGGCAACATGGCTGCTGAAAAACACGCCCTCAAATACACCATTTATGCTGAAAAACACGGTCTTGTGTCAACGACCGGGTTTTCCCTCTACACTTCACAAAATCATCATTTCGAAAACACGACCTCTTCGGATTAAAACATGCCCGGGTTTTGGGCTTAGAGGCAGTGTTTTTGCACCTGTGCGGGTTTTATTGGGGAGGAGCTCATATTTTGAAGGGGTTGACTTTCTGGAGCAAAAACAGAGTTCTAGAGAGAGAAAGTGAGAAGAACAAACCCTAGGAGCTATTTTGGAGTGGATTTCTCATCACTGAAGCCCAGATTGCATCCCTAGGAGTGAAGATTGACATCCCAGAGCAGATTATTCCCATCCTTATGAATATGATAGCTTTGATTTCTGTTTTCCTCTCTATCTCTCTATGGAGTATACCTTTCTCTCACTTGGGTATGAAGAACCCTAGTTCCATGTGTTAGGGATCTTGATTTTAATGACCTCTGGGATGATATACTGATTGATTTTAATCGGTTGAAGAACCCTAGTTTGTCTAAGACGGTTTGGTCAGCTTAAGAGATTCCAAGCTAATTTCGGATCTTCCGCAGTCTAATTAACAGTGAATCAACCAAAGGAAATTACAACTTGGACCTAACTAAGGAGCTAGGGGGACTCATTCCCGAGTGACCCTTCTCTTGCTTTAGAAAACTAGAAAATTTACTGCTTTCTTTATGTTTTGGTTTGAATTCACCTTCACTCACTTAGTCCCGCTAGATAATAGAAGTTCACGGAGTAGGCAGAGATCTAGACCGCGGGTTGATAAATTAAACTTACCCACTATTCTACATTTCCAGACTACGATTATACTTTCTCGTAGTTTGGTGTTATGTTTTAGCGAGTCAAGAACAAATAGTCAGTTATTCATAGACTAATATCTAGACTGCTCATAATAATATACATACACCGTAGACAAGTATCAAGACAGAACACATAGTCATATATTCATAGACTAACATCTAGACAACCCAAAAATAATATCCCTACATTGCAGACAAGTGTCAAGGCAAAATACACTCATTTATTCCTACACATATGTGTAAAACATTTAGTTCACTATATGCAACCATTTCTACCAACCCACTATCTTAAGTAGCAAAGACAACATCTACATACCTGATTTATGTCAAAGATGGTCAAATATTCAGTCTCCTACAGTCTGTGGTGGTCAACTAAGCAGAAATTGTAGGAGGAGCTGAACTGCTCGTCCCCAGTGCACTAGTACCCCCAATTGCCTTTGGGTCTTGTTTCTAGGAGCGAGAGGCGACTTCTTCCCTACTCAGCAGCATGGCAGTCAGGTTATATCTGTCCCTATCAACCTTAGGGACAGCTACGATTTCCTTCTCCACCCTTTGCTTCTACCAGTAGCTACAGCTTGATATGATCCAAATCCGAAGAGAATCCTCGAACTCGGATTATATTACCAAAGTACGCAGCCTTCCTTCTTTTTAAAGATTTTCGAAGTTTTTCTCCAACTTGAAATAAAAGATAGATGCGGAATCAATTGGACAATCCCAACTCGTGACAAAGGGCAATTGGTATATTAAACCATTCGGACAGAATCAACTCGTGGAAAGGGGCAATTGATATAGGATAGATGCTCGCCACAACTAGACGCGTTCTCTAGTTGATAAGAGACACGTGAAACTCATGGAGACTCTCGACAGAAGCTTGCACAAACGTTCACAAAGGAACACGAGTAAAAACTCTTAATTGATAACTTGAATATTGGATATCAAATTCGTAGCTATTACACCCTCTATTTATAGAGGTCATGGAAACATAAATCTAACCTAAAAGGAATAGGAAAACAAATCCCAAACTAACTAGTAAACATAATACTACTTATATAAGGACTATAACTCGTTTTTATGACCAAAGGAAGCTCCTTAGCAGCTAAGTAATCTTCAAACACGTTTTTAATGCTTAAGGAAGCTACTTAGTGGTTAAGTAATTTCTTTCCTTGCCCTTTTCACATTTGGACGACTTGGGCAGCAAGGATGGATGTTTTGGGCTCCAAGAAATGTTGTAGGCCCGATCCTTAATGCATTCTCCATTTTATCCATCAAGAATGCTCCTAGTTGATCCTTAAATCGTCGAATATGAATCTTCATTTTTGGACCACGGGAATTAAATATCGTGCTAGTCGATATTGCATTATTCCCTCTCTCTTGAAGAAGATTCGACCTCGAATCTTTGCAGAATCTTGATCCTTGATCAGCTCCGTTCTTCTTGTTCTTCCAACGAAATTGTATTGGTGAGGATCGTATTATTCCCCCCTTCTTAAGAACAATTCGTTCACGAATTGTAGAGACACCATTGTGATGAAAACCCTCCACATAACTCTGCAATTCTTGTCGCTTTTCCATGCGTGCTCCCTCTTCGACAATTGCATCACCAACCACGAAATCAATATGATCATATTCAGGAACAATTGACGAATCCCCCAGATTTTTCATGCATTCATCTCCTCCATTGATTTCTGGTTTCTTCATGTATTGCTCACAATCCTGCGTACCCAAAGCTGACTTTTCAACAAGAACATCTTCTATCGACTTCTCGTCATCAAAATCCTCATACTCTTCACAACAAGTATCGAAAAGTGGACCTTCCATAGGCGAGATTTCAATATACTCCTCCTTGTCTTGATCTTGCTTTGATGAATTAATTCCCAATAAAGCTTCCAATCGAGCAAGTTTGGCATCCCTTCGTTCTCCCATTTTTGCTTGCCCTTAAAGAATAACTTCGACCGTCGTGAGAGAATCCTCGATAAGATCGTTGAGTGGCTGCTGCATCATCTCCACCAATCGTCGATTTTGCTCCATTCTTGCGCCTCAATCAAGAATCACAAAAAACCAAAAAACAGAATTTTTTTTCCACATGTACAGCTTTGTGGCTATGTAACAAGAATTTTTTTTTACTTTTTTTTAATTACGTGAACAGTACACGAAATTTAAAATAAAACAAAATAATTAAAATGAAACAAAAAACACAACTACTTGCTCTTTATTCTACCGCAAAAAATTGTTGTTTTTTTTCCTCTCTAATTACCCACATCAAACTAATTAAGAAAACTACTTTGGTTTTTTTTTCCAGTCACGTGAACAAATAAAAACAATTAGAAGTAATCTGCCTTTTTTTCCTTCCGTAAAAAGCTCACAACAACGTTTTTTTTTGGCTTTTTCTAAAAATAATCAAGAAATAAAACAAGACTGACACACCTGCTTCTTGCTGCGGAGTTTGAACCGGTAATCTTCAAATTTGCCACTGAGTTTGAACCAGTAATCTTCAAATCGCCTCTGAGTTTGAACCGGTAATCTTCAAATCGCCGCTGAGTTTGAACCGAGCTCTGATACCACTTGATATGATCCAAATCCGAAGAGAATCCTCGAACTCGAATTATATTACCAATGTACGCAACCTTCCTTCGTTTTAAGTATTTTCGAAGCTTTTCTCCAACTTGAAATAAAAGATAGATGCGGAATCAATCGGACAATCCCAACTCGTGATAAAGGGAAATTGGTATATTAAACCAATCGGACAGAATCAACTCGTGGAAATGGGAAATTGATATAGGATAGATGCTCGCCACAACTAGACGCGTTCTCTAGTTGATAAGAGACACGTGAAACTCGTGGAGACTCTCGACAGAAGCTTGCACAAACGTTCACAAAGGAACACGAGTAAAAACTCTTAATTGATAACTTGAATATTGGATATCAAATTCGTAGCTATTACCTCCTCTATTTATAGAGGTCATGGAAACATAAATCTAACCTAAAAGGAATAGGAAAACAAATCCCAAACTAACTAGGAAACATAATACTACTTAAATAAGGAATATAACTCGTTTTTATGACCAAAGGAAGCTTCTTAGCAGCTAAGTAATCTTTAAACACGTTTTTAATGCTTAAGGAAGCTCCTTAGTGGTTAAGTAATTTCTTTCCTTGCCCTTTTCACATTTGGACGACTTGGGCAGCAAGGATGGACGTTTTGGGCTCCAAGAAATGTTGTAGGCCTGATCCTTAATGCATTCTCCATTTTATCCATCAAGAATGCTCCTAGTTGATCCTTAAATCGTCGAATATGAATCTTCATTTTTGGACCACGGGAATTAAATATCGTGCTAGTCGATATTGCATCATTCCCTCTCTCTTGAAGAAGATTCGACCTCGAATCTTTGCAGAATCTTGATCCTTGATCGGCTCCGTTCTTCTTGCTCTTCCAACGAAATTGTATTGGTGAGGATCGTATTATTCCCCCCTTCTTAAGAACAATTCGTTCACGAATTGTAGAGACACCATTGTGATGAAAACCCTTCACATAAATCTGCAATTCTCGTCGCTTTTCCATGCGTGCTCCCTCTTCGACAATTGCATCACCAACCACGAAATCAATATGATCATATTCAGGAACAATTGATGAATCCCCCAGATTTTTCATGCATTCATCTCCTCCATTGATTTCTAGTTTCTTCATGTATTGCTCACAATCATGCGTACCCAAAGCTGACTTTTCAACAAGAACATCTTCTATCGACTCCTCGTCATCAAAATCCTCATACTCTTCACAACAAGTATCGAAAAGTGGACCTTCCATAGGCGAGATTTCAATATACTCCTCCTTGTCTTGATCTTGCTTTGATGAATTAATTCCCAATAAAGCTTTCAATCGAGCAAGTTTGGCATCCCTTCGTTCTCCCATTTGTGCTTGCCCTTGAAGAATAACTTCGATCGTCGTGAGAGAATCCTCGATAAGATCGTTGAGCGACTGCTGCATCATCTCCACCAATCGTCGATTTTGCTCCATTCTTGCACCTCAATCAAGAATCACAAAAAACCAAAACACAAATTTTTTTTCCACACGTATAGCTTTGTGGCTGTGTAACAAGATTTTTTTTACTTTTTTTTTTGAATTACGTGAACAGTACACGAAATTTAAAATAAAACAAAATAATTAAAATGAAACAGAAAACACAACTACTTGCTCTTTATTCTACCGCAAAAAATTGTTGTTTTTTTCTCTCTAATTACCCACGTCAAACTAATTAAGAAAACTACTTTGGTTTTTTGTTTCAGTCACGTGAACAAATAAAAACAATTAAAAGTAATCTGCCTTTTTTTTTCCTTCCGTAAAAAGCTCACAACAACTTTTTTTTTTTGGCTTTTTCTAAAAATAATCAAGAAATAAAACAAGACTGACACACCTGGTTCTTGCTGCGGAGTTTGAACCGGTAATCTTCAAATTTGCCACTGAGTTTGAACCGGTAATCTTCAAATCGCCTCTGAGTTCGAACGATAATCTTTAAATCGCTGATGAGTTTGAACCGGGCTCTGATACCACTTGATATGATCCAAATCCGAAGAGAATCCTCGAACTCGGATTATATTACCAAAGTACGCAGCCTTCCTTCTTTTTAAGGATTTTCGAAGCTTTTCTCCAACTTGAAATAAAAGATAGATGCGGAATCAATCGGACAATCCTAACTCGTGACAAAGGGAAATTGGTATATTAAACCAATCGGACAGAATCAACTCGTGGAAAGGGGCAATTGATATAGGATACTTGATCGCCACAACTAGACGCGTTCTCTAGTTGATAAGAGACACATGAAACTCCTGGAGACTCTCGACAGAATCCTAAACTAACTAGGAAACATAATACTACTTAAATAAGGACTATAACTCGTTTTTATGACCAAAGGAAGCTCCTTAGCAGCTAAGTAATCTTCAAACACGTTTTTAATGCTTAAGGAAGCTCCTTAGTGGTTAAGTAATTTCTTTCCTTGCCCTTTTCACATTTGGACGACTTGGGCGGCAAGGATGGACGTTTTGGGCTCCAAGAAATGTTGTAGGCCCGATCCTTAATGCATTCTTCATTTTATCCATCAAGAATGCTCCTAGTTGCTCCAAGATGGTCAAATATTCAGTCTCCTACAGTCTGTGGTGGTCAACTAAGCAGAAATTGTAGTAGGAGCTGAACTGCTCGTCCCTAGTGCACTAGTACCCCCAATTGCCTTTGGGTCTTGTTTATAGGAGCGAGAGGTGACTTCTTCCCTACTCAGCAGCATGGCAGTCAGGTTATATCTGTCCCTATCAACCTTAGGGACAGCTACGATTTCCTTCCCCACCCTTTGCTTCTACCAGTAGCTACAGCTCAGGATGGTCTTGGTGTGCAACCCGCGCACACTAAGGAAGTCTAGCAAATGGAGCTGTAACAAAAAAGTAAATTAATAAATTTTAAGTCAGTATATAAAAAAACTCGAACAAAACAAAACAATACACAAAGCTTATTACTTACCAGCAAGAAGTGGACATCCCCAAGAACCCACAAGTTCTTCTTGTCCATAGCCCTAACAATAAGTTCTTTTCTCTTGCCAGCAACCAACTCTACATTTAGTTCACGGACAACATAGGCACTCCAATTATACACCCCAATGTCATCCACCCTCCCACACATGTATTCAGCAAAGTCCAGCTTACACATATGGGCAAATGCTGGGGCAACCAACGAACCAGTCTCCAACAACAAGAACTGCTTCACAACCATCACAATAGGTGGTCTATCACCTTCTGTTGGAGTGGACATGTTAGCCAGCTTCTTCGGAAAAACATTGCGACTCTAGTTACCCTCCATGCCGACCTCCTATTCAAAACTCCCGTGCATCTTCTCCACACATCTCTTGGCCACAGTCTCAGTCCCACCAATAGGAAGCCCGTATACACTTGCCACATCCTCAGGTTCATTGGTCAACACCATCTTGTTCTCCTTCATTGAAAATGAAACTATCGGTTGAGCAATCATAAGCAGCTATCAAGTCGTCCAACAAGATCTTGTTAATTGTCGACATTCGAAGGTTCAATAGGCCATCAAACCCGACCTTCTCGACTTCTTGCTTGCAGGCCGCATAGTAATCATCATCATTCTTCTAGTGCTCTATGACCTTGAGTAGGGAATAGTTGTGGCAGCGGATTTTGAAGAATTAGCTCGAATCTTAGTCATCATCTACTCCTGGGTTTTCTTCTTCCCCATCTTCTTGCTCAACATGTTATGGTTCTTCAATAGGTGGCTATGATGACCCTTCTCCAGAACGAGCTCTCTTCGCACTCAATTTTTATCTCACCATCATGCAAAGTCCTTAAAAGAGAGTTATAAAATATATTTAGTCATGTACACAACCCAAACTAATATCCATAATGCACAGAATAGTATCCCCGGTAACATAACTGAAATAGTTACATGACAATACTAGTATTCAGCCAATATAACCAACTAGTATCGTGGTTAACCACAAGTGTATCCTAATTTAGCTAAATGATATTTAGCATGCATTGCACTAGTATTAACAAACTAATATACACATTTAACAAATTGTATATCCATTTCATCAACTAGTGTTTATCCAGTTTAACTTACTAGTATTCAACATTGGGATGGACTAATATCTTGACAACAAAGGCGAGTATCCATACATCATATATATGGCATTCAACCAATCTGGTCAACTAGTATCAACACATTATCTTACCGCACGTGATAGTATCCAAAGTGGTGTAAATGATATCCATACATCACATCACTAGTAATCATCCAATTTAACCAAATAGTATCGTCATTAACTACTAATTTATCCGAAATGAGTTAAATGATATCCAAAAACCCATATTCACCAGTTTAATCCAATTTAACAAACTAGTATGGACATTCATTACAAATTGAATCTAAAGTGAGATAAATTATATCTAGAAGCCCATCTTCAATCCATGCAACCCCAAATCTAGCCATCGAAAAAATCTAGCATTAAAAACAATCAAAACCAGGAACCCCCATATACGAATCCATGAAATCCTAAATCTAGCAATCGAAAAAAAACCCAGAACCCCCTAAATTGAATCCCATGAACCTAATATAACGAATCAACAAACAAAACCCTGAACCTCACATTCGAATCCTAGGACCACCAGATTTCAATCCATGAAACCCTAACTTTGAATCAATGAATCAACAAAGAGATAATGGACGCCTACCTCAATAACTTCCTCCTTGTTGCCTTCGTCGGCTTCTCTCTCACACTTACGGCGTCGTCTTCTTCCTTCTCCTCCTCCCTTTACTGGCATTGTATTCTTCCCCAGTTGTGAACAACTTCATGCCACTCGTATTAGGGTCGTCGTGCTGGAGCCCTCCTCTCGATATCGTCATCGCCAGTGCCCTCAAAGCCATTGTCTTCTTCCTTGCAGCCCTCGCCAAAGAGGTGTTGTGGTGGCTATAAGAAGAAGAAGAAAAAGGAGAGGGAGATGAAATGATAAGATTTTCTAGAGAGAAAGGAAAAAAGGTAGCTGTGAAGTGTTTAGAGATGGCAATGGGTCGGGTTGGGGTGGGTTTTGTCAAACCCAAACTCAAACCCATGGGTTTATCCGCCAAAAAAACCCGGGGTAAAACCCGCTGGGTTTGAAAAACTCAAACCCAACTCAACCCGCTGGGTATCCGCGGGTTCGTGGGTACTGTCACATGTGGCAGATGACATGGCGCCAACAAGGTGACAACATGGCGGCTGCACATGTGGCATGCATGGAAGACTAGTAGCATAGAGATGCTCCTAGGATTCTCCACCTTAATGTAGAGCTTAATGGTGCACTTATGAGTCACATAATGGTGACATTGATAGAGTGCATAATGGGGGGACTTAATGGGTGTATTGATGTAGTAGAGGGACATTATGAGGGGGCATTGATGCCTTGTATGTGGAGAGGCCTATATAAGGAGCAATCTCCCTCACTTGTACTCATTCCATCATTTTTGAGAGTAATACACACTAGAGAGTTCTCCCAATCCTTTGTCTTTGTTCTTGTCTTTGCTTGCTTGTGAGTTTGAGAGAAAGGCTGCCTAGCGCTCTAACGGAATTGAGAGCTAGGGCCGCACGATCGAGAGTAAGGTCGTGACAAGTGGTATCAGAGCCCCGTTCGACTTTGTGCTTGCAAAGTAGAAGCAATAGCCAGAAGAAAAGGAAGAACCTCACCAGAAATGTCGGGATCAGAAGTCAACGACGATGAGAAGCATCCTGGCAGAGAGCCTACCCCAGGCGGGAGGCCAAAAGACAAGTCAAGCACTCGTGATCCTCTCAGATCTCTAGAGAGGCGAGTCTCGAGGATGGAGGTGAAGATTTCTGAAGATGTCACCGCCATCGAGAATTTGGGAGCTAACTTTGCCCAAGTCGAAAGCGATTTTCAAGGTATGAATGCTCGTTTGTCGAGCTTGGAGATTGGTCATGATGGCATATAAGAAGAGCTTGTGGCCCTCATCAACAACACCATCACCACATCCTTGAATAACGCCATTGAAGTTGTGAAAGAGCATGTCCAGGCTGAGCTGGTCGGCGTGAAGGAGGAGATTGCAGATCTCATGAGTGAGGTCACTCTCGTGAAGAGAGCCATGGCTAGCGGACCAGCCCCGGTGCAATCCATCCCACGTGCTGATGTTCCAAGACCGAAGAGTTTCGGAGGTTCAAGGAACGCGAGGGAGTTAGAGAACTTACTTTGGAGTCTTGAACAGTACTTCAAGGCGTCCGGCATCCAAGAGGATGAGGTAAAGATTCGTACCGCTCCACTATACTTGGTTGATGTTGCAATGGTGTGGTGGAGGCGACGTGAAGCGGACGTCGAAAGAGGTACTTGTGTGATGGTAACGTAGGAAGATTTCAAGAGAGAAATCAAGAGGTAGTTCTACCCAGAGAACGTGGAGTTTGAAGCCCGTTCGAAGTTGAGAAGACTCACCCAGAGGGGTGGAGTTCGAGAATATGTGAAAGAATTCTCGGAGCTGCTTCTAGAGATCTCGGACATCACGGACAAGGAGGCCATGCACGGCTTTCTTGATGGGCTGCAACCATGGGCCAAGATGGAGATGCAACGTCGAGGAGTGCAAGACCTTGCAACTGCCATGGCCACGGCAGAGTCTTTTGTCGAGTACAAAAGGCAAGAGAGCAGCGGCAAAGAGAAGAGTTCGAAGCCCAACAAGGGTGGAGAACAGCAGAAGCCTTTCAAGGAGGGTTCTCGCACTCAACAACACCAAGGTGGTTCGAGCAAAGGGGGTAAGTACGAGCCAAAACCCATGACTTGTTTCCTTTGCGACGGACCACATCGAGTGCGAGATTGCCCAAGGAAGGCGAGATTGGCGGCCATGGAAGCTCAAGATGAGGAGCCCAAGGCGGCGGAGGCCAAGATTGGCTCAATCCGCAAGCTTGGCGCGGCGAAGACCGATGTCAAGGAGAGCAAGCGGGGGAGGTGCTATGTTCTGGCGCAATTCATGCAAGGCGAGTCAAAAGCCTTGGTGGATACCGGTGCCACAGACAACTTTCTTCGCATCGAGGAGGCAAACCGGCTGGGTATTGCCTACGAGAAGGGGCAAGGGAGGCTCAAGACGATCAATTTGGAGTCCATCCCGATCCATGGAGTTGCTCACAACGTACCAATGAAGCTTGGCGAGTGGGAAGGCCTCATCGACTTTTCCGTCGTCACCATGGACGATCACCCAGTCATCCTCGGCATCAACTTCCTCGACAAGGAGGGAGTGCTCTTGAAGCCCAACTCCAACACAATGTGCTTGGAGAAGGAAGGGGAGTTTCATGCGGTCCATCTCTTGAGAGAAGATGGTCCCCATAGTGCTCTATCCGCTATGCAAGTGGTGAAGGGGTTCAAGAAGAATGAACCAACCTTTCTTGTGTCCTTGAAAATGGAGGAAGAAGGAGGCTCAACGGGAATCACAACTCCCATCATCGAAGACGTCCTCGAAGAGTTCGATGACGTGATGCCATCGGAGTTTCCCAAGAAGCTGCCACCAAGAAGAGAGGTGGACCACAAGATCGAGTTGGAGCCAGGAGCGAAGCCCCCTTCGCGAGCACCATACCGCATGTTGCCACCGGAGTTAGAAGAATTGCGGAGGCAACTCAAGGACTTGGTGGACGCAGGCTACATGCGGCCATCGAAGTCACCTTTTGGAGCACCGATGCTGTTCCAAAAGAAGAAGGAAGGGTCGTTGCGGATGTGCATCGACTATAGAGCCATCAACAAGTTGACGGTGAAGAACAAGTGGCCGATTCCCAACATTGCCGACTTGTTCGACCAGCTTAGAGATGCAATGTGGTTCACCAAGCTAGATCTTCGCTCGGGCTACTATCAAGTGCGGATAGCAGAGGGCGACGATCCAAAGATAGCTTGTGTGACGAGGTATGGCTCTTACGAGTTTCTTGTGATGCCATTCGGTCTCACCAACGCACCAGTCATGTTTTGCACTTTGATGAATCAAGTGTTCGAGCCATTCTTGGACCGGTTTGTCGTGGTCTACTTGGATGACATCGTTGTGTATAGCAAAACACTCGATGAGCATGCCGAGCATCTACGTCAAGTCTTCCAAGTCCTTCGCGACAACGAGTTGTACGTCAAGAGGGAGAAGTGCACATTTGCCGCCACGGAGGTTCCATTCTTGGGGCACGTCATTGGTGGAGGCAAGTTGAAGATGGATGGAGCGAAGGTGCAGGAAATCCAAAAATGGGAGCCGCCGACGAAGGTGCCAGAATTGCGGTCATTCCTCGACCTTGCCAACTACTATCGGAGGTTTATCAAGGGCTACTCCAACATTGTAGCACCCTTGACGGATCTCTTGAAGAAGGACAAGGCGTGGGATTGGTCGGAAAGGTGCCAAGAAGCATTTGAGGCTTTGAAAGCAGCGGTGATGAAGGACCCCGTGCTCATGCTCCCCAACCCGACGTTGGCCTACGAAGTGCAGACCGATGCGTCCGACTTCGCGATTGGAGGAGTGTTGATGCAAGATGGGCATCCCATTGCCTTCGAGAGTCGGAAGCTCAGCGAGACGGAGAGGCGATACACCTTTCAAGAGAAGGAGATGACGGTCGTGGTGCATTGCTTGCGCACATGGAGGCACTACTTGTTGGGGTCAAAGTTTGTAGTGAAGACGGACAACGTGGCAACGAGCTACTTTCTGACGCAGAAGAAGCTCACCCCTAAGCAAGCGAGGTGGCAAGACTTTTTGGCCGAGTTCGACTTCATTATGGAGTACACTCCAGGCAAGGCGAATTCCGTTGCTGATGCTCTTAGCCGCAAGAGTGCAGCCGCAAGCATCAGCCAGCCCACGTTTCCTTTGAAGGAGCGGATCGTTGAAGGCCTTGGCCATGACCCCTTCGCCAAAACCGTAGCGGAGTACATCGAGCAAGGTAAAACTCGGCGGTTTTGGATGAAGGATGGACTCATCATGACCAAGGGAGAGCGGGTGTTCGTGCCAAGATGGACCAACTTGAGGAAGGAGATCATGAAGGAGTGCCATGATTCCAAGTGGGCGGGCCATCCCGGCATCGAGAGAACGCAAGCGCTCATCGAAGAAGCATACTTCTGGCCGCGTATGAGAGACGAAGTGGAGATGTATGTGAAGACTTGTCTTGTGTGCCAACAAGACAAGATGGAGCAGAGAAGCCCGGCAGGCTTGCTAGAGCCCTTGCCCACGCCTCAACGACCATGGGAGAGTGTAAGCATGGACTTCATCATCGGACTTCCCAAAGTCGATGGATGCGGTTGCATCATGGTTGTGGTGGACAGGTTTTCGAAGTATGGAGTGTTCATTCCTGGGCCAAAAGACTTGACGGCAGAGGATGCGGCACGTCTATTCTTCAAGAACGTGGTCAAGTATCGGGGCATTCCTAGCAGCATTGTGAGCGATAGAGATGGGCGCTTCACGGGCAGATTTTGGCGAGAGTTGTTCAAGATCATGGGCTCAAACTTGAACTTCTCGACGGCATTTCATCCTCAAAGCGACGGACAGACGGAGCGGGTGAATGCCTTGTTGGAGGTGTACTTGCGGCACTACGTGAGTGCAAACCAACGAGATTGGGTGAAGTTGATGGACACGGCACAGTTCTCCTACAACTTGCACCGCAGCGAGTCGACCAACACGAGTCCATTCGAGTTGGCGACGGGGCATCAACCTTTGACACCTACGACGGTGGCAACGGGGTATAGAGGCAACAGTCCGGCGGCCTACAAGTTCGCTAAAGGCTGGCACGAGAAGATGGAGATGACCAAGTCTTACTTAGCCCGCGCTAGCAAGAAGATGAAGAAATGGGAGGACAAGAAGCGGCGACACTTGGAGTTCTAAGAGGGAGACATGGTCATGGTCAAGTTCTACCCTCATCGCTTCAAGCATCTCAAGAACGTGCACAAGGGACTGCTTCGTCGCTATGAAGGGCCATTCCCCATCGTGAAGAGGATTGGCAAGGTGGTATACAAGGTAGAGTTGCCGACGCACTTGGAGATCCATCCGGTCTTTCATGTGAGCCAACTCAAGCCTTACCACGAAGACAAGGAGGACGAGCAACGAAGGGAGTCGCAACGCGCACCAACACTCGTCACCAAGACACACGACCATGAAGTCGAAGAACTCATGGCGCGTCGTGTCATTCCTCGTCGTGGCATACATCCAAGCTTTGTGGAGTACTTAGTCAAGTGGCGCAACCTTCCGGAGAGTGAAGCAACTTGGGAGAAAGAGCTCACGCTTTGGAAGAACAAGGACTTGATCGAAGCATTCCATCAAGAGGACGCGACGAGGGCGTCGCGAGCATAGGTGGGGGAGGATGTCACATGTGGTAGATGACATGGCGCCAACAAGGTGACAACATGGCGGCTGCACATGTGGCATGCATGGAAGACTAGTAGAATAGAGATGCTCCTAGGATTCTCCACCTTAATGTAGAGCTTAATGGTGCACTTATGAGTCACATAATGGTGACATTGATAGAGTGCATAATGTGGGGACTTAATTGGTGTATTGATGTAGTAGAGGGACATTATGAGGGGGCATTGATGCCTTGTATGTGGAGAGGCCTATATAAGGAGCCATCTCCCTCACTTGTACTCATTCCATCATTTTTTAGAGTAATACACACTAGAGAGTTCTCCCAATCCTTTGTCTTTGTTCTTGTCTTTGCTTGCTTGTGAGTTTGAGAGAAAGGCTGCCTAGCGCTCTAACGCAATTGAGAGCTAGGGCCGCACGATCGAGAGTAAGGTCGTGACAGTACCCGTGGGTGTTTGTAGTAAAAAATTTACAATAACAAGTTTCTTTCAAAATAAAAGTTTAACATTAATTTTCTCATACAAATTATTCATACAAAAAACACCAATCTAGAGCATACAAGCAAACCACAAATGATCAATACAAATTGTTCAAAATTAAAGATAAACATCTATAAACAATAAGATTAATTGAAAGCTTCTTACTCGTCAACTAAGTTTCTTTCTTCACTCTCCACTTCATAATATCAACTTCATTCTAAACAATTAGAAGCAACAAATTATATGTCTCCACAAACATAAAGAATATTAATTGTTTAAGGAAGATATATTATTTAGAATATTAAATATATCGGGAAAGTAATTATATGTGTGTGGACGGGTACCCATGGGGCAGGTTTACCTAAACCCAAACCCGACCCGATGAATAGTGTAGCGGGTTTAAACCCAAACCCGGACCAAAACCCGTCAACCCCAATTTTACCCGCGTTGACTGGGTTGGGTCGGGTGGGTACCCGTGGGTTCGGGTTTTGTTGCCATCCCTAGAAGTGACGGAGAGAGAAGAGAGATCTGGGAAAAGGAAATGTTCGAATTCTTTTTGAATTTGTAGGCCGTGATTCTGTTCAAAAGGGGGCTCGATTTGGGCCTGCTGAGCTGGTAATCTCTTCTCCCCTCACGTGTTGGGCGAAACAATATTTATTGGGGTAAATTGTAAGGTTAGTCACTGAAATTACTAAAAACGTTCACGTTTGATCACTAGAAATATTTAAATCCATTCATGATCACTACAATTAGTTTAACGGTTCAAGTTTGGTCACTCTCCGTTAGTCTCCGTCAGCCTCCGTTAACGACGTCAGCTTTTTGCTGACATGACTAACAGAAACGCCTAGTCAGCAAATTTTAACACAAAATAAAATAAAATTTGACCCTCCACATCATCAAAACCAGCCACATCATAAAAATAAAATAAAAAATCCAATCCAACCACCCGTGACCCTCTGACCCGACCCATACAAAGTTGGGTTCCCCTTGGTTTGCAGGTGTCGATGGTCGTTGAAGCTGCCACCGGAGCTGGACTTGACCGCCGACAAAGTCTATTCCCTCATCCCTTGTCACGCAACTGGAATGCCTGAAGCTGATGGAGATTTTCGGCTGGTGTCATATGGGGAGGTGGTCACATCCGCGGCAAGCGAGAAGGAGCAGTGGTCTAATCTCCTCCGTCGTGAACCCTTCGTGCTCGTCTCCACCAGAGCAGTTGTGTCACTCACCAACAAAGCCACAGCGAACCAAAAAATTTCTTCGCAGAATGTGAAATTCTAATAGATGATTGGGCTAGAACACTTTCTTTGATTCGATTCGTGCGTGAATGGACTTGCATTGGGTGTAAAAGAAGGGGTGGATCTAGTTGAAGGTCTGCAGAGGGCGGAGGAATCCAAGGAGGTGGAGTATAGGACGAAGGCTGAGTCGGGATTCATCAATCTATTCATGGGATTCGACGAGAGATGATGAATCGTAATTAGCAGGTTCCTGATAATGCAATCGTAACTAAGAAAAAAAGATAAAGGATGCACAAACACAGGGGTAGCAAGCCATAGAGAGATCGGGCATTGACCAAATCATCTTCTTCCGAATCAGCTCAACAACGCGATTCCTTCTTTGAGTACGCCCTCTCCAAATCCACCGGCGACCTGCCGCCTTCCTCAAATCACCACCACCTTCACCACCATCTCGACGACAATCCGACCCCCACTTCTCCCTCCGCCTTCATTTCCGTCAGCATCCCCATCAATCTAATCCATACCACCACATCCAGCACAAACCGACAGCCGTCAACGATAGTGAGGGAGGCGACATAGCGGATTCTTGTCTGAGGAGCTAGAGTTGTTGAGAGATCTAGCAATTTCCCACATCAATTCGAACCGGTTCTGCAGGGTGGTGCCTTGGACGTTCAAGAACTGGAAGCGACTCTATGATCTGGATCTCAGCAACGTCCCCTTCTATTTTGGGTTAGGAACAGAGGAGGAAGAAACCGAACCAGGAGGCGAGCTCGGCGGCGGTGAAGGTTGGGTCGGGTAGGGGTTTGTAGAAAAGAAATTAATTTTTTATTTTTTTTAATGAATGTAATAATGAGGTGGAAAATATAAAAGTTTATTTTTTTATTTTTAATAAATTTTTAGTTGCCACGTCACTAAGTTAACGGTCAACTTTGAAAGTTGACTGCCACATCAGCCAAAGTTAACGGAGTCGGATGGAGAGTGACCAAACGTGAACAGTTTCGGTAAACTGAAGTACTACCAATGAATTTAAATATTTCGAGTGACCAAACTTGAACGAATCTCAATGACCAACCATGCAATTAACCCATGTTTATTGGCTGAGAAAATATAATATTCTTCCCTGGCCCTGCCTCTGCCTTGTTCTCTCCAACGCAGCTGCAGCTGCAGCTACAGCTACTACTAGCTATGTAGGAGATGTCATAACAAGAAATCAAACCAGTAATCGATTTCTCCGGAAGTCCAGTTTCTGAGTCCCCAACTCTTCGCCCGTTTATACTCCCTCTCTCTGCCACCGCCTGCAACATCAATATAGAGAGAGGCAATAAACAAAATGAAAGAAGAAAGCAGCCCTTGCCTTTCCGGCATTCAAACAGACCTTTGTTTGCTTTTGGATAGGCTGGTTGCGAGAAGGATAGTAGTCTTTCAGGCACCTTCTGATCCTTTCTTCACTCTCTTCTTCTTGCTGCTGTCTCTTTCCCTTCCTTCTCTTTTGACTGAATAGTCGCACAGTCGTGTAGAATCAATCCTTGTTCCAGTATTCTCCGCCATTGCTGGGAAAACAAGAAACCCTCCTCCGCTTTTCTTCACTTGAAGATGATGCAGTCGTCCATGGGCGAGATCGACACCAAACACATCGAATCCGTTCAGGTAGCTCTTACCATTTTCGAAGAGAAAGGGGACAATCAGAAAAAATTCGCCCCCACCCGGAGTACTATTAATCACACCAACTCCATCCTTGATCAGGTACCATTACTTCTCCTGTCTTCAATTGAATGGACATGGTTGAATTCTTAGTGATGATTCATCTGGGATGCTATGGGCTTCCAAATAAGCAGTAATTTTGATACACAAATCATAGCTTAGCTTCTGGTTTCATGCATATGGTTACCAAATCTGCTTCCTTTCGGGGGGTTAAAACAACAAGCAGGCAGCAAAGGAAGGAAAGGACATGAATGGGCTCTCAAAGGAGTTGTCAAACTGCAAACTCCAACTCGAGGCAAAAGACTCGGAGCAATCGCAGCTCCTCCACAGGATTGAGCACTACAAGAACACAGTAGAGCAACTCACTCTTGTGTTGCAAAACTGCGAGTCCGACAAAGAGTTCCACATCCAACAGCACCATGAAGCCACCCTCCGGCTAAACGAGCTGGAGCCGAGGGCCAGGGAGCTCGGGGACCAAGCTGTCAAATTGAGGGAGCAACTCTCCGACGTCCTCCATCAGCTCAAATGTAGCCAGGACGAGATGCTCGGCATCCAAGCCGAGCTCGCTGCCCTCAAGGACGAGAAAAACAAGGCCCTTGCAAGGGCTGAGGCTATGGAATCCATGTCCAACTCCAACAAGGGGAGAGCCGAGGAGCTGCTGAAGCAAGTGGCTGATGCTCAAGTGGAGATGGCACTCGTCAAGTCGGAGCTCATAAAGATGAGGTCAAAGGTTGTTGTGGCCGAGGCAGTTGAGGCCAGAGCCAAGAAGCAAGGTGGTCTTGGGTTGGTGAAACGGCCAATGCATCTTACTCCAACCCCACAGCTTCATGGCCCGCAACATAACATTCAATGCATAGCATCTGAAGGCAACAATAGTACTGATGAGAATTGTGAAGGGGGAGGAGGGAAGGTCATGATTTCATTGGCTGATTACGAGGCATTGGTAGAGAGAGCTTCGACGGCGAACCAGAGTTTGTGGAAGGGCTATGATCAGTCAGCTTCGGAGTTGAGAGCTGAGTTGGAAGGTGCAATGTCCAAGATTGGAGACTTGAGGACAAGGGCAGAGCAGGCAGTGACAAGAGCTGATGCAGCGGAGAAGGCCAAAGTTGAAGTTGAGGAGGCGCTGAGGAAGCTGCGGGAAAGGAAGCAGAAGAGGAAGGCAGCGCTGGCTGCACTAAGGGAGGAATCCTTGTCTGCCAAGTTCATTCGGTTGCCTACTACTGCAACTACTTATTGTGCTCCTAATAAATCAGTTGAATCTTCTCAGCCGTTGGGTAAGATTCTGAACCTCACTTACTAGCTGGATCTGGCCGAGTCTTCGTTCTGTGTATTGATCTTAAGACGTGAAAATTCCAATGTTTTTTCGTGGAACCCTTTTTTTTTTTTTTTTTTTTTTGTCTTTTGGAAAGGAATATGGATATGATTGGTTTGAGTCAAGCTTATACATTTTCTGAAGAATTCAGTTACATGCTTACATGAAATAAAGTTCATTTCTTTTGAGCACTTCTTACATCATTTATACGGTTAGCCAGCCCGTCTGGATCTTGTATGGTGATTGTACCTACCATCTCACTCTAGACATAGATCAAGCCTGAGACTACTCCTTCTTGGTCAATTCATGTTTTATTTTTACCAGCAAGGAACCCGCTCGCTTGCGCTTCGCGCTAAATGAAAAGTTCTATTTATACTTATAAAGTTATCGTGTTAGGAGGAAATTGAATTTGTTATCCGAACTATATGGTTGTATCTATATTATTTCTTGTACATGAATTTTTCAGTAGTAACCATATCTATATTATTTCTTGTACATGAATTTTTCAGTAGTACTACTACACCACGTTCCTCTCACTTTTGTTTAACAACTAATACAACATTCATTCGGACAATAGGTGGTTCACTCAATAAAAGTAAAACGATATTCAAAAGTTAATATAAGTGATTTTAGAATCATGGTCCAACTAAAAATGAGGCAAGAAGTCAAACAACATTCATACTTTCGATACATTCAATCCTATAAGAAAATACTCGTAAACATTGTTTCTCTCCCTATGCTTCTCCCCCCATCTTTTCCTCAATTAGCAGTCTAACATTTTGAGTTTAGGCATGAAGTTTAGCATAAATTAGCATGTTAGACTGCAATTCTAAGTTTTTGCTCTTCATCCCTTATGTTGGCATCTCCATATTGATCCAAACGCACGGTTCACTAATGCAAACATCATCGTCATATAACATACTTCAGCTGCTTGTCTTTCATCTGATATGGAAAAATTGTAATAGGAAAAAGCGAGATTGCATTCAACGCGATTGCATTCACTCGTTCCAACTTGACAATTTACAGCTAAGTCAGTAAATCGGCCATATATAGGTTACATCATCTACATTTCATAATGATATCTATAATCTAAGTTTCACAAAGCTGCATAATAATTTTCAGAATGGTGCTTTTATCAAATCGACAGACTGTTACCAAGAAGGAGAAAGTACACATCCATAAGACAACTACAATATTAACCTAATCCAAGTTCACGAAGGTGTGAAAGAATTGAAAAACAACAAAAACAGTTTCAAGACAATTAAACGCAACATATGCAGAGTAAACATTTATTGTGTTAAGTTGACCAGTGCATCAAGCTCCTTTGTAGGCATTTTGAGCAGTGCAAACTGGCAGCCAAAATTGCAAAATAGAACATCGAAGCCACACTTGTCTATCTCTCTCAATTCTTCGATTCGATGGAGAAGAGAGGAAGCACGACCGTGCTATACCCCTATTGATTCGTCAAAGAACTTACAAAATTGTATAGAGAATCAGAGATTTTGTAGATAGAAAAAAACTTGCATGGAAAATTGTAGAAAATGGATTTGAATGTTCTTATTTCTTGTTTTTCCTTTGTGACTTGTGAAGTTGCAGAAATATGATAGAGATGGAAGAAATAAAGGGGTGCTTTTCTTGCTCACCCTCCCGGCCTCCCCTTTTCTTCTTCTACTACTACTACTAGAGAGAGGGAGAGGGAGTGAAAAGTGATGAAATTAAATATAAAAAATAAATGAAAACAAAAGGGAAAAAAATGTTTCTCTTATTTTTTGTTTTTTGTTTTTTAAGAGATGAGAAGGCCTCTAGACGAGTCTCTAATTTATAGGGATCTAATAAATAATTAATTGTCTAGTGATGTGACTATTAATATTTCAATGTCCACACTTTTATAAATAAATGAGAGAGAATTAAAGAACTAAGTAAAATGAGAAATAATAAAAATGAAAGAGAGAAGGGAGAGAGAAGGTAGGTTGTTTAAGTGAAAGAGATAAGAATGAGAGAGATGGTGATTAGTGGTGAAGAAAGAAAAGAAAATTGATTAACTAATAAAAGTTTATTCTAATTGGCTGATTTTAATCAATAAAAAATTACTTTGAGAAATAATAAAAATGAAAGAGAGAAGGGAGAGAGAATGTTGGTTGTTGAAGTGAAAGAGATAAGAATGAGACAAATGATGATTAGAGGTAAAGAAAGAAAAGGAAATTGATTAATTAATAATAGTTAATTCTAATTGGTTGATTTTAATCAATAAAAAATTACTTTTGATGGGGCACTATGGAACAGTAAAATTGTTACTTGTTCTTTGTTCTTTTAAAGGTAAATACAATTTAATATCCAAACCTTTTATTTTAAACAATATAATAGCCAAACCTTTTCGAAAACAATATAATATCCAAATCTTCAACTTTTCGTTCGTTTGACCGTTACTTGACACTTCAAAAAAGTTCGAAGTACGACGCTTCATCAATATCCATCGATATCTTCTCTGAAAAACCACCAAAATATCGTGGTTCCAAACCCGAGAAGTCCATGACTCCACCATAATGGTATGAAATATCTAAATATTCAGTCATATGCAATGCCAAAACAAGAAAACAAAGTTGTATTGTGACAATTTCCCCTAAACAAAGCTTTTTTGAAGTGTCAACCAACGGTCAAACGGACGGAAAGTTGACGATTTGGATATTAGATTGTTTTCGGAAAGGTTTGGCTATTATATTGTTTAAAATGAAAGGTTTGGGTATTAAATTGTATTTACCCTTCTTTTAAAGTACTAATAATTTTCATGTAATAAGAAGAACATATATGTAAAACCTTGATGTTTATAGGGAGAGATGCATGAATGATAGAGTTGAAAGGGACGACAGTAGTGCGCCACAAAAGGGAGGAATCACATCCATAGGGATCTCTCTCAACTCACTCCTTCCAATTAGGGGAAGGCATACAATTCTTCAAATTCAAATTGATTGAATTGAAGAGTTTCGTTTGCCAAATTGAACCAAATATTTTTTTGGTTTTGAAACCAGTTGGGTGTTCGCATGTTCTCGATATTCGATTCAAATTCAATTGAATTGAACAACCAAACACTAGCCAATCTCCCAAACCCAACTCTTAAGTGGTCAAACCCAACCCACCATCCAAGCTCTTATAGACCAAACTTCACCCAAATCACATAATCAAAAAACACCATTTGCTTAGCTCGACCCGACCCATCGAATAGATCACCCAATTCTAAACCCTACAACCAACTTCAACTTGCCTCTCTCAGACTCCCACTCCCTGTCTCCCTCATCTCCTCTCTACAAAGTTGTTAGAACAGAGTTGGACTCGAGTAATCCGCTCGTTTAACACGACAAGTAACTTATTTGCAAGCAATGTAGTCAAAAGCGTGTTTCTACGTAGAAACGTTTCGGTTATCTAAAAACGTAAAATCTTAAGTTTTTAAGTTTTAAAGCGGAGTTTTTACTTACATAAGTTATAAAAACTGAGATTTTGTGTAAAAGCGTTGTAGTGACCTAGAAACGTAAAATCGTAAGTTTTTAAGTTTTAAAGCGCGATTTTGACTACATTGTTTGCAAGCTGATTAACCTGCAACTCGATTGATTCGCAAACCAATTAACTCGAAGCCAACTAATACGTGTGCGATTAGCTCGTAACCCGGTACCCAATTAACCAGACCTGCAACCCACCTGATTGGCCCAAAATAGTTACTATTGTAACATAGTCTTGCATAAGGGTTTTCGTTTGCAATCCAAGTGGAATCATTTTTCATTTCATAAAGTGAAATTCAATTGAATTTAAGGTTTTTTACAAGCGTACGCTAGTTAGAGTTTTGCTGTTAGAGATCATGATTTAACAAGAGTTTGGGGCATGATACTATACCCTAACCTCTAATCGGTGAACTCCAGTCCCTAATTTTCTAACCCAAACCATGAGATTCGTTTAATTTTAAAATGAAAATCAATGGTAATTTCGATGAATTAGAATCGTTGATTTTCATTTTAAAATTAAACGAATCTCATGCTTTGGGTTAGTGAATTGGGGATTGGGATTCACCCATTAGGGGTTAGGAGATAGTATCATGTCCCAAACTTCGGTTAATTCATTGTCTAAATAGCAAAAATCAATGGGCCGTACGCTAACCTTGCCATATATATAACCTGAAATCCACTTGAACATTAAGTTCTTTAAAAATATTACAAATTAAAATTTATGAAATATAAAATTAGTAATATGTCACTAATGATAATGAACAACTAACAATTGAAACAAATCTATACAATTAATATGATATTCGCGTATTAAAATTGTTATATAAACCTGAAATCCACTTGAACATTAAGTTCTTTAAAAATATTACAAATTAAAACTTATGAAATATTAAATTAGTAATATGTCACTAATGATAATGAACAACTAACAATTGATACAAATCTATAGAATTAATATGATATTCGCATATTAAATTGTCGTTTATTAAATTATTTGATCAATTTATTGTTTAAACTTAAATGAAAAAGTAATGTAGTTGCTAATGTCATTATCTTTAACGTGAGATATTTTGTAATAGCTAATAATTTGATTAAGTAGAAGATCGGTATTCGTCCTTCTCCCAAATTCGAGTCCCTCTGATAGTACCTTATAGTAAACATCAAACCTATATTGCCCTATAAAAAATGGGGATGAGGGGCTCTCTCTCGTCTCTCCTCAGAGGCTGCTGCTGCTGGTGGCGATGGTGGTGGTCTTGAAGGCTTGCATGCGGAATCAAAATCGACAGTCAGTGGCTTTCAAGTCTTGCCTGTGGAATCAAAATCGACAGCCAGCGATTCCGGGAACCCAGGGTCGACACGAATATTCGTTTATCGATCCATTCATTTCTTGGGGGCAACATCGCAAAGAGGATCCGTCTGCATGGAGGCATGGGAAAAACCCTAAGTCATCGCTCAAAGAAAAGGAGCGCAATAAGGAATCTGTCTGGAGACAGTAAACGTCGACGTACTCAACTGGTCGAGGTTTGGCATTTTACACTCCCATCATCAATGGAAATAGAGGAGGTGGGAGGATCGCCGACGTGCCATAACACGATCATCGATCATAGTGGCTCACCAGAAAAGGATGTACGATCAACTGGGATGGTCCCCCCTGATGGGGAAACGAGTTTGCATACCCAGTTCCAGGTTGTGCCGTGGAATACGATTTTATATCGGAGTCCGACCAGGTCTTATGAATAGGTGTTTTTGCCTGAGTTGTCGCCGGCGGCTGGACCTAGTGCCCGGGTGCGATGGAAAGTTAATGGATGGGTGGTGGGGGGCAACAAATAATGAGAATCCTCTACTAGCATTCCAATTGAAGACGGGTTTGTGCCGTCGTCCTAT